GACCTATTTGACAAGAACTTTAAGTCTTTGAAGAAAGAAATTGAGGAGGATACCAGAAAATGGAAAGATCTCCCTTACTCTTGGATTGGGAGGATCAACATAGTAAAAATGGCAATTCTACCAAGAGCAATCTATAGATTCAATGCAATCCCCATCAAAATCCCATCAAACTTCTTCACAGACCTTGAGAGAATAATAATCAATTTTATATGGAAAAACAAAAAACCCAGGATAGCCAAAACAATCTTATATAATAACAGAACGTCTGGAGGTATAACCATCCCTGACTTCAAACTCTATTACACAGCTACAGTATTGAAAACATCTTGGTACTGGCATAAGAATAGAGAAGTCGACCTATGGAATCGAATAGAAGACCCAGATATTAACCCACAAACCTATGAACACTTGATTTTCGACAAGGGGGCTAAAGGTATGCAATGGAAGAAGGAAAGCATCTTTAACAAATGGTGCGGGCATTACTGGATGTCAACCTGTAGAAGAATGAAAGTAGATCCATATCTATCACCATGCAAAAAAACAAGTCCAAATGGATTAAAGACCTCAACATTAATCTGACCACTTTGAACCAGATAGAAGAGAAAGTGGGAAGTAGTCTACAAGACATAGGCACAGGAGACCACTTTCTAGGTAGAACCCCAGTAGCACAGACAATAAGAGAATCAATGAATAAATGGGACCTCCTGAAACTGAGAAGCTTCTGTAAAGCAAAGGACACCGTCAGTAAGACAAAAAGGCTACTTTCTGACTGGGAGAAGATCTTCACCAACCCCTCATCAGATAAAGGCCTGATCTCCAAAATATACAAAGAACGCAAGAAACTAGACAATAAAACTCTAATTAACCCAATTAAAAAATGGGGTGCTGATCTGAACAGAGAATTCTCAACAGAAGAACTCCGAATGGCCAAAAGACACTTAAGGTCATGCTCAACATCCTTAGCGATCAGGGAAATGCAAATCAAAACAACTATGAGATACCATTTTACACTGGTCAGATTAGCTAAAGTAATAAACACCAATGATAGCCTATGCTGGAGAGGATGTGGAGAGAGGGGAACTCTCATCCATTGTTGGTGGGAATGCAAACTTGTGCAGCCACTGTGGAAATTAGTGTGGCGGTTTCTCAGGAAACTGGGAGTCAACCTCCCTCAAGACTCAGCAATTCCACTCTTGGGAATATACCCAAGAGATGCCCTATCATACCACAAAAGCATTTGTTCAACTATGTTCATAGCAGCACTATTTGTAATAGCCAGAACCTGGAAACAACCTAGGTGCCCCTCAATAGAAGAATGGTTAAAGAAGGTGTGGAACATATATACATTAGAGTTTTACTCAGCGGTAAAAAACAATGACATCTTGAATTTTGCATACAAATGGATGGACATAGAAAATGCTTTACTGAGTGAGGTAAGCCAGACCCAAAAAGAGGAATATGGTATGTATTCACTCATAAGTGGATTCTAGCCATAATTAAAGGTCTTTGAGCCTATTATTCGAGATCCTAGAGAAGCTAAATAAGAAGGTGAACCTGAAGAAAATCATGTAGTTATTTTCCTGGAGATTGGAAATAGACAAGAGTGCCAGGTAACCTCGGGTGCATGGGGTGGGTGGGTGGGAGGGTTGTTGGAAGGGGAGAGGGTTAGAGAGAAGGGAGTAGGGGAGGAATGGGGAAAACTCGGGGGACTGAGATGGGGGGAGGGAGGAAGGATGGATATGGGATCAGGGAAGAATATATCTCAACTAAGGGAGTCATTTTAGGGTTTACAAGAGACTTGATTATAAAGGGGATCCCAGGTCCAAGGAGAGATCCTCAGATTGTTCTCTGGACAGAGGAGAGGGTGCCTGAACCGGCCTTGGCCTGTAACCATACTGATGAATATTTTGCTTATCACCATAGATCCTTCATCCGACAATGGATGGCGATACAGACGGAGACCCACATTGGATCACCGGACTGAGCCCCCCATGGTCCAAATGAGGAGCAGAAGGAGGAAGAACATGAAAAAAAACCTCAGGACTGCGAAGGGTGCGATCACCCACTGATACAAGGGGACTGATCTAATGAGAGTTCACCAAGGCCAGTTGGACTGGGACTGAACGAGCACCTGATCCAACCAAATTTTCTGAATGTGGCCGGATTCTCTGAATGTGGCTGGCCCGGAGCCTTTCTGAAAATCCATTGACAATGACACTGGGACTTGTTTCCTCTGCATACACTGGATTTTTGGGATCCAGTCTGTTTGGATACTCACCTTCCTAGACCTGGAGGGAGGGGGGAGGAACTTGAACTTCCCACAGGGCTGGAAGCCCTGACTGCTCTTAGGGATGGAGAGGGAGGAGGGGGGGGGAGGGGAGGAGTGGGAGGATGTTGGGAGGAGGGGCGGAAATGGAAACTTTCATAACTTAATAAACTTTGAAAAATAAATAAATAAAAGTCAGAAATTATATGCAGTTAAAACTCAAAGCCATTTACAAAGAACTCATAGCAAACATCAGTACTCAAGGGCGAAAAGTTCTCTCTTTACCAAAGGATGCCCAACCTCAATGCTTCTATTCAATAGGACTATGGATGACCAGGGGAAAACAAGGGTGTCCAGCACCATGGTCAGGGAACAAGAAATTCCAGAGAGATGTCACCTCACACCAGTTAGAATGGCCACCACCAAAAAGACAAACAAGAGGAAGTGTTGGTAATGTGGAGAAATGGAGCCCTGTATGTGTGAGTGGGGTGTGATTACCTATAGCCGTTAGGATAAAAATAGTATGGAGTTTCCTCAAAAACAACTGAAAATATGAGTAGACAGTCCTCTCTACTGTGTACAGAACTCGGAGAATTAAAATCAGTCTGTTAATGAGATGCCTGCAGTTGTTACAGCCAGACAAGCTCCACATATGGAGTCAGCATGAACAGCTGCCAGCAGCTGGAGAGAATGTGCTGTTCTCACTGGAGACACTCCCAGACAGTCTTAAAGTGAAGGAGACCACATCAGTGGAGACAACATGGATGAGGAAGAACATTCATGAAGCATATTGCTTAGTAAATTAAAGACTCATATGGTCAAAAAAGAAAGAGATACAGTAAAGAGCGATTCAAAGATGAAAAAAACCTCTAAATGGCTTACAGTGTGTTAAAAATATATGCAGGCTAAAGGTTAAAGTCCTTAAAAATAAAAAAGAAAGAAAGAGAGTAATAAGGTGTGGTAGTACATGCTTTAATCCCAAAGCTTGGGACGCAGAGGCAGACAGACCTCTGTGAATTCAAGGTGTGATGGTGAACACATTTAATCCCAGCACCGGGGAGGCAGAGACAGATGGATCTCTGTGAGTTCAAGGACAGCCTGGTCTACAGAGTTATTTTAGGACAAAGATATAGATAAAACCTGTCTCAAAAAGTAAAAGTACAAGTAAAAGATATAGAGGTTAAAATAAAGCCACATAAAGATGGAAAATACACAGAGAATCTTGATACTATTATGCTCTCTTTGAATTGTTTGAATGCTAAGGAAGGAGCAACAGCTGCTAAAAGATATTTGTTTATAAATGCTGCTGAATTAATCCAAGATAGGTATTTTGACTAAGATAGGTATTTTGACCTTGACTTCAAAATTGAAGTCAGAAGATATGTTACTTTGGAGAAGAGCTTTTGCTTTGGTTTCCATAGGAAATGAAAGACTGTGGATTCATTCTGAATTAAGACAAATCAGGTTTGATCAAGGAAGACCACCTGAGAAATCTGTGGTGGGAACAGATGGTCTGGATGTCTGAGTTCTACATCCAGAATGGATTCAAGACTGCTGCCTGAGATGATCAAGACTTACAGGATACTGCAGTCAGGACTTGATAATAATTCTAAATTTTCTTTAGGTCCCCATAAGCTTATCAGTGCCCCCAACAAGCAAGAAGTAGTCTGGAATACTATGCCCACATTCCCAAAAAATGGACAATGGGTATTTTCCTTTGTTTTAAAAAAGGGGGGAGTGGTACAGGAGAATTGTCTGTATTCTGTCAATCTGTTTATTTTGAATAAATGCTGATTGGCCAGGAAGGAAGTATAGGTGGGTCAAGCAGACAGGAAGTAGAGGCAGGGTGATGAGAACAGGAGAAGGCTAGGAAGGAGGAAGCCCATTCCTCCACTCCTGCCCAGACTCTGAAGAAGCAAGATGTAAACTGCCTCGCTGAGAAAGGTACTGAGCCGTGTAGCTAGCATAGATAAGAATAATGGGTTAATATAAGCTGTAAGAGTTAATAAGAAGCCTGAGCTAATGGACCAATCAGTTTTATAACTTATGGAGATTTCTGTGCGATTTTCTTTGGGGCTTGCCGAAAGTGGGGTACCGGTAACAACTGAAACCCCAATGAACAAGCTGGCCCTCTGTTACACAGAAAAGCTAAAGCTACACGATTTCACGTTTGGTGGCCTGGGAAAGGGTCTGACTCAGATGAAGTAAAGTGGGAGTGAGGAGGGGGGTTGAGGTCATAGTGGACATAAAATTTCAGTCAGGAAGAATAAGTTCAAGACGTCCATTATACAACATGATAAGACTAACAATATATTGAGTTCTCAAGAAATTGCTGAGGTCATGAATTTTAAATATTCTTCCCACGAAAATGTATGTGAGGTAATACACATACCTTGATACAGCCATTTCAATTGCGTATTTAAAACTGTATGCTGCCTCTGAGATGATGTGTATGTGGGGGGGTGTGGATGCTTGTGCATGGGTACATATGTGCGTGTGTGTGTGTGTGTGTGTGTGTGTGTGTGTGTGTGTGGTGCTAGGATTGAACCAAGGATCTCACAAATGCTAGACAAGCATTCCACCCTCAAACTACACTCAAAACCCCAAATATGCCTAACAATTTTTTCAATAGTCAATTTTGAAAATGATTAAGAATTTTTTTAACAAACAAAAAAAAGTTCTACCAAACCCATACAGACCACCTGACAAAGCCAGGAAGGTAAACAATAGTTACTTTTGTTGCTGCTGGGCAATGGGATGTGAGGCTCCAGGCCTGCATCTCTGTCACTCAGTTGGACTTCTAGTTCACAGGACTCTGAAGATGGAAAGGCCACAGATGAGATCCCAAGAGCCTTGTCTTTCCCAGTTTCCACCTTCATCCCTCCCCCTGATCTCATCTCTCGTTCCTACTTCTAGCCCCATCTTCACATGCGGCCACCCCACCCTGGAAGGTGTTTGTGCTTCAGGACTCCCTAGCCAACACCTTTAACTCTTGTTTCTTAGCTTCTCTTTGCCCTGGTAAGACTTTTCCAACTCTTTCCCTCTGGGGTTTCTTTTTCAACAACCCCCTCCAGGTCTCAACAGTGCATCAAGTGTTCTCTTTGGTTCTTCGTGCCTAAGTAGTTTTCTTCTTGTATCAGACACCAGCGCCTTCCTCTGCTCCCTCCCAGAGCTTAGCCCTTCGTGCTAATACTGAGTCCATCTTACCCTCAGGCTCAGAACCTGGGCCTGGTGGTATGGCTGCTTGGGGCCTTTGCAGTTCATCAATGTCGTTGCCAGTAGTATCTCCTCTCAAGTGGTTAATCTTTACTGTTTCTTTGAGGTCTTTTGATAGTTCATTTTCAGATAAACTCACAGCTAAAACAGATTTTATTTTGTAATTATTTTATTTGCACCAGGGGCACACATGGCATATATATATATATATATATGTATATATATATATATATATGTATATATGCAGAAAACACATACACAGATAAAACAGAAGTAAGTGAATCTTCAAAAGCATTTAAAAATAAAGTGTTAATTTTAAGAAGTCTCTTTTAAAATGACATATCTCACCTGAAATCCACACAGTAACCCTTCCAAAGTGCCAGAGAGGACTGGAGAGATGGCTCAGTGGTTAAGAGCACTGACCGCTCCTCCAGAGGTCCTGAGTTCAATTCCCAGCAACCACGTGGTGGCTCACAACCATCTATAATGAGACCTGGTGCCCTCTTCTGGCCTACAGGCAGGATACTGCATAAATAAATAAATAAATCTTTAAAAACAAAACAAAAAACAAAAATAACAAAAAAAACCCCACAAAGTGCCAGAGATGTGTTTACAAAGACAAGTCATGGAATAAAGAAATAAATACTATTGCGTACATACCATTGTGAATCTGGGGGATGGAGAATTGATGATTCTCAGTTTGGTTTCCCTGGGTGAGGGTGGTAATTTCTCCATCATTACTTCTCCAGGCTGAGGAATAATGGATTTCATAGTGAGTATCCATGTTAGACATCCTTAGAGAAGAAATCCCATTTATGCAGTATGAGAAGCTTAGATTCTGGAAGCAGGTACAACTGACACTGATGACTGAATCGGTCAAAAAAAAAAAAAACAAGAAATGCATCTAACAGAGATGAAGCACCAAACACAAGTATTGACGCTCTTCATGACATCATTTGACATCCATCTGGAGCATGGACCACTGTCACATCCCTTTTATAGGAAATGACCCCAGGGCCCAGAGAGGACAGATAACCTGCCTGGGATCACAGAGGCAGAATTTGAACCCAGACATTCCTGATCTGCCCTGGATCTTAAAGCACAATTGAATCTTAACACTTAGTTGAGTAAAAGATTAGATTCTCCTCAAATAAAACTTTTTATTTTCTGAAAATAGGATGAGACAGCATCATTTTTAAGTCATTCAGAAGATTACTGAAAGAATACCTGTAACAATATATCAGAAAAATATAATATTCTTTTATATTCATTATTACATTATAATATATTTATTGTTGTTTATAATTATAATTCAATTATAAGTTCTGTTTATAAACATAATATTCATTATGATCAATGCCTTGAATTTAGAATATTCTAAATAAGAAATCGCTTAAATATTTATTAATATAAGGAAGGTCAAGAGTTTAATTAAAATATCAAAAGGAGTCAGGCCATGGTAGTACACACTTTTAATACCAACAATCAGAAGGTAGAGGCATGTGGATCTCTGAGTTCAAGGTCACCCTTGTCTACAGAGAAAATTGCAGAATAGTCAAGGACTACACAGAAATACTCTCTCGAATAGTCAAATAAATGAATAAATAAGTAAGGAAACAAACAAATAAGTAAGTAAATAAAACATCAAAAGTTTTTTCCCCAGTGGTCTATCTTCTCTGGAGAGAGACTCTCAAGCTGTTACCCTGGTAACAAGTAGAGGTATCGTTGAAGAGATCCAGTTGTGACATGATCTTATGAGCTGGACCCAAAGGGGAAAATTCACTGCCTCCCTAATGTTCATGTTCATCATCGCTCTCTAACCTCCGCTAGACAGAAGATCAGAGCATGTAGGCCACGTCTAGTTAGTCAAGAGAGCCACAGGCAGACAACTGCGAATTCATGAATATGGACAAGATATACAGGAGCCGAAACTTTACTAGTCAACCCCGAGGACCCTAGTATTTAAACCCTGAACCTGGAAAAATGACAGAAGCAGAAAATGTTATGGACATCAGAAAAATGAGGAAAGAGCTCCCCACGTATGTGTTGTGAGGGTTGGTTTTGTTTCGTTCACAAAACAAGAGAGGATTATGTTGGAAGAGGGACTTGAGAAAATTTCTCCATCAGATTGGCCTGTTGACAAGACTGTGGGGGCATTTTCTTGATTAATGATAGATACGACACCACTGTATGGATAGTCCTCAGATATATAAGAAAGCAAACTGAGGAGGCCAGTAAGCAACATTTCTCCATGACCTCTGCTTCAGTTCCTGCCTCAAGTTTCTATCTTGATGTCCCTTCAGGAGTGGACTATAAACTGTAAGATAAACTAAACCTTCCCACATTGCTTTAGGTCATGGGGTTTCATCACAACAACAGAAAGCAAATGAGTTTGCATGGGAGGAGAGAGCAATGTTAACAGAGTCAACGAGAACAGACCACCAGATGAGGAGGAGGGTGACCAGGTCAGGCTTTCTTGAGAGCAGCTGTCACCAGGTCCTAAGAAACAAAAATTAGATGTTCATTTCAGGAACTGGAGTAGGTTACCTCTTCTGTCTTTATCATGCGAGAGCTGAAGCAGCCTTTGAAGCACCAATCCAGAGCCCATCTGGAGCTGACAATCTCCCCATGATTCCTGAGATCAGACTCGAGTCATGAGAAAAGGTTGTAAGAGTCAGCACTGGCTGAGAAGGTCCTGCCTGGGCCACTTTAGCACCTGATGGTGACCTGTCTTCATATCCATGGCTATAGGATGTCTGCATGTGTCCCCAGAGAATTCATGCCCAGTGGCCTTACATGAGTTTGTTTCTAGCTGTCTCCGAAACACATCACCTATCACAAAACAGCCTCCCCGTATATATCTGATGGCTTGTCCCTGCTGGTCTTCTCATGAGGACTCAGAAACAGCCTGTCTCCATTCCCTCCCATTTTTGAATTCCTTCCTCTATTTTCTCTCTCTATTTCCCCTACTTCTGTTTCATGTTCTCCATTGGATTACCAGTACACAGTCAAGAACACAGACTCTGCCTCCTGAGTGTCTGGATTCTTGCTCCTTCATTTGACACCAAGAACACTCCCCACATGGTCTCTCTCAGGTTCAGCTTCCTCACCAATAAACTGGGCATCTAAATGATGTCCATGCTTCATACCAGCTGGGGTTGATAGGAATCAAAAGTAGATGATAACCAAAGCAGGAAACTAGCAACATGGATCCTTCTGCCATTGTCTGTTATACTTTCTGCTCTCACTCTTTCCTTCCCTCTTTCTTTTCCTGTCTGAAAGAATCCATGTGCTCTCCCCACACCTCTACCACTTTCTCGCTGGGTGTTTTATTCTATCTTTCTTCTGCAATATTTTTGCTCTCAAACAACATTTTTTTAAAAATTTACTTATTTATTTATTTATAAGAATTTCCACTTCCTCCCCTCATCCCAGTACCCTCCCGCTCCCCCCACTCCCTCTCCTCCTTCCTCTCCAGTCCCAAGAGCAGTCAGGGTTTCCCACCCTGTGGGAAGTCCAAGTTCCTCCCCCCTCCCTCCAGGTCCAGGAAGGAGAGCGTCCAAACAGACCAGGTTCCCAAACAACATTTCTTATGTTGAATCCATCTCTTCTAACATCAAGTTTGAGACTGTGACATACTAAGAAATGATAGTTTTGATCTTCATCCCGTTTCTGGCCAGAAATCCTCAAATCCTGGGTAAGTTCCAAGAGATTAAGGTGAAAACAGCGTCAGTCTGCCCTTGAGCATAGCCAGCCTTCCTCAGTAACACCGCAGTGCACATTACAGAGGTAAAGTTTGGAAAGCCATTGGAAATGGAATGCTGGCTTCCAGGGGACCAAAACATGATGATAGCATTGGAACCTTGATCTCCAAGGTGAGAAGAGCTAGAATTTGACTTAATCACATAGCTAATAATGTAACCAATAATGCCTGCATGGTGGAACTTTTATTAAAATTCCCAAGTGACTAATTCAGATAGATTTGGGGTTGACAATCTCCATAATGGAGGAAGGGTGGTGTGCCCAGCGAAGACAAGAGGGTGTTGTGTTCTCTCCCTGTTATTCCTTGGGGTGTTCCCCATCCATGTGGTTATTGTTAGTGTGCATATGTGGGAGAGAACAGAGGACAATCTTGGGTGTCATTCCTTAGGTGGCATAGACCGGTTTTTGTAGAGATGGAGTTTTCACTGGACTAGACCTCATCAGTTTTCATAACCAGTGATCACAAGGAAGCTGTCTGTCTCTGACTCCCTGGTACTAGGACTGCAGCACCTGCCCCTGTGTATTGAGCTGGTTTTTTTTTACATGAGTTTAGGGGATCAAATTCAAGCCCCTGTGCTTGCATGCACTTTGACAACAGAGTCATCTTCCCAATTCCCCTCACCATAGCTGACTATTTTTGAGATATAACTTTTTTAAATAAATTTTAATGTTTCTTTGAAGCTCATGAGCTATGCTAACAGTTCTGTTGCCTGAGGAGCCATGGAAACCTCTGGTTTATGTCTAGTTGAGCAGAAGCAGTAGCCACACTCTAGAATTTTTTAACCAGCATGGGAAGTAGACTGCTGTCTTATGGCACTGAACACTTTATCTGATTTAATTACACCATAAGACACCTTGCTGATGTCTGGAGAGTTTGTTGGTGTGGGAAAACTTCACTCACCACATATCTGGTATGAGAGACCAGTGTATAATTACCTTGTTTAAGACTGAGCTGTGAGTTTGGGTCCCTTCTATCAATGTCTCTGGACCACAATTCTTTCGGTGGTAAGACTGAAATGGGAGGGAGAGAAAAGAAGAAGAGGAAGCCATTAGAGATCTCTAGTAGGAACAAGGGGCAGCATTTCTGCATTACACGTTTAGAAATGTCCAGTCTTCTAATCACTGCAGATTAGTGAGTGCCACATGACAGAGTTTACCCATCATGTCCTGGGACAGAGAAGACTCCACAAGGGAGACTTTATGCTTCCCATACAGAAAGGAGATGCTCAAGGTCAAGACTAAAAATTTGAAGACACACTTGTGCTGTGTTCCTATTCCAGTGATCAGAGGGCAGAGAAGGTGGATGTCAAAACAGAAAAAAAAAAATGGAAGTTGAACATGGCTTCCAGAATTGTAAGAAGAAAGAGGGGCTTTCCTGGATGGAAGGTCAAGGATCTGGCACATACCAAAGGGAGGCTTCATGATGGGCAGGCTTTAAAGATGGGCCAGATGGGGTTGAAGAACTGGCTCACACATTGTTGATTTCTATGAGCATGTGGTGCTAAGCTAAGATGACTCCTGCAACCCACAGCCGAGCTGTCACTCAAGGTGGGTGTAGTGAACCTGATGGACTCTTGTGTATAATATTATAAGGGCTCCACTGAAGAGAACAGCAGTGCTACCCTCCTGGGACTGAGTTCTCCTGTCCTCTTCTCCATAGCCTGATGCTGGTGGGGCTCTCATTGTCTTCTCAGTCTATATAGCCAGCCTAGCAGACCTCGGGAGCGTGTTGACTGTAGCCATTAGATGTAAGTTTTGTGATGATACGTAACATGTTAGTTTTTAAACTCCTACATCTCAGATTGTGCTGTACAATATGTGACACATGGTAGATGCTTAATATATGGTTATTGGGCGGGGGAAATAAGGACTGTGATCTCCAAGGGGATACTAAACCCAATTACCGTGTTTAAGTCTTTCAAAAATGTGTTTCAAATTAGGGTATGCCTCCATATTTTCCACACAGAACAATACCCGTAGAACCTGCAGGTCAAGTCTCTTCTCCAGTACTTCCAAGGCTCTGTAGACCACTTCTTGTACAGGGACCAGGTTTGTACAGGAATCTCTAAAATCCTTACAAGATATTTGATGGAGAAACTTTAAGTGCAGGGTTCCAAGTCACAGAAGAGCCATAGGAAACAATTATAGTTAGTGTACCTCAATCACCAACAATCATATCTTTTAATAAAAAGTTTTATATTTGCATTGCTACTTCATGAAACAAGTAAATATTTTCTCTTTGAAAATACTCACTAGTGACTTTAAGCTCCCACCCTCATTCCTGTGACATGTAAGAAGGGCCATTTTTTGTAAGAGAGGGACACTTGGGTTAAGGGTTAACAATGGGGCTGGTGAGATGGTTCAGTGGGTTATAGGCACTGGTCACCAATCCTGATGGTCTTAGTTCAGTCACTGGGATTCAGATGGTGAAAGGGGAGAACCAACTAGCCACAGGCTGTCCTCTGACTTGGACACAAGCACAGCAGCAGGCTCATACACACATGCACACACAATAGAAACACACACAGACTTATGAATAAATAATATATGCAATAATATTTTCTAGAATGGAGGTGCTGGAAAGATGGTTCACGGTTGAGAATACTTGCTGCTCTTTCAGAGAACCCTCATTCAGTTCCCAGCACCCACACAGCAATGCAAGAACACTTGTAACTCCAGTTTCTAGGGATTTGGTGCTGATTTCTGTACAGTATGGGCACCAGGCCCACAAGTGCTATGCACACATAGAGTCAGGAAAAACACTTGTACCCATAAAAATAAAAACAGAAGCATTCTTTTTTTTGTTTGTTTGTTTAAAGGTTAACAGAGTAGGTGGCCAGTGCTGTTCTGTTACTCAGACACCACCTGTCCTCCTCTAGGAAATCAGGTGTCCATTCCCTCTGACTGTGAACTCTGCTGGAGGGAGGCAAATTCATAAGGCAAAGCAAACAAATAAACAACTGGAGGGACTGTACAGAGGGCCCAGGGGTTAAGCACACTTGCTGCTCTTGCAGATTTCCCAGATTTGTTTGTCAGCACTCTGATGATGTTCACAATCATCTTTAACTACAGTCATAGAGGATCTGGTGCCCTCTCTTCTGACCGCCAGAGGAACCAGGGACACTGTGGTGCATAGACTTACATGTATACAAAACACTCAGACATATAAAATAATAAAAAAGTTTTTAAAAATTTGTCCAAATAAAAAATTCTGTAGTTTGTAATATTCTCAGATATAGGTTTAAAAAAATAGATATTAATTAAAATAAAATGTCGTCATGGAAATTTCACTAAGTCAGTTCAATAAAATAATCCAACAGTAAATTAAAATCACTTTTAACTTTTAGCTTGTTTATCATTTTAGTTTAATTGAGTTTGAATTCCATGAACTCTATGGTTTAAAATCCATGAGACATTGCACATCTATGGAGAACCCCTGTTCTGCCCTGGCTTCTCTTCAGCATTACTCATCCAGAAAGGACCATGGAACACCTGCTCCTCAGATAGAAGCAGCACCATCTCCTGAGGTCTCTGCTTCTCCTCCTCTTAATACATGGAGAGAAGACTTCTCGAAATATTTACATGATATACATCACTCCCAGAATATGCAGGTTTAAATCTGAGTCCAGAATTCTAACTTATAATTGATGAATGTATTATTGTAGCTTATATCTCTACAAAGTGCTATGAAAACTTTGTCAATAATTCTTTGTCAGAAATTAGGTTTGGGTGCTGGCGAGTTGGCTAAGTGGTTCAGAAGACGTGTTACTGTAATAGAAGACCAGGGGGATTCCCAGCACCCACATCAGATGGCTCACAACTACATGTAACTCCCGTTCCAGGGAAGCTGGAGCTCTTCTCTGGACTCTGTAGGCACCAGCACACATGTGAACACACACACACACACAAATGCACACATGAGCACGCAAAAGCACACAAACATGCATGCACATAAGAAATAAAATCTTCCCCCTCGACTTTCTGGTCACCCGGCAGAGGTGGGCCCTCCCTGCAGAGCTCTCCCGAATCCTGTCCTAGCCTTTATCCGGGTACACCTTCCTCTCTTCCCCCCTCCCCTCTGGGGCCACAAGATCTCCCCAGAGCTGCTCCCTTGCATGCTGGGCCTGGACTGTGGGCTCAGGCCGGCAGGGGCATTTCCTTTGCTTTGAGAGCCTGCCTGAGGACAGGCAAGCTCTGTCTCAGCTCAGCCACACTCCTGGCCAGCAAGAGACAGTGATCTTCTAGCAGACATCCATTGGAGGAGGGGTGAGTTTGCTCCTGTCCCGAGGGCTTTGGCTAGGAGGAATTCAGACTTTCCCTGCCCCCCTCTACTTTCTGGTCACCAGGCAGAGGAGGCTCCTCCCTGCAGAGCTCTCCAGAATCCTGTCCCAGTATTTATCCAGGCACACCTTCCTCTCTTCCCCCCTTCCCTCTGGGGCCACAAGATCTCCCCAGAGCAGCTCCCTTGCTCACTGGGCCTGGGCTGTGAGTGCAACCCGGCAGGAGGGAGTGCCTGTGTTTCAATAGGCTGCCTGAGGAAAGGTAGACCTTCTGTCAGTGAAGTCCCTGCCCAACAAGGGAACCTGACCTGGTACCAGAAGATCCAATAGAGAGCATTTGAAGGAAGAGATGGGCAGACGCCAAGGCAAGAACTCCTCCAACAATCTAAAAAACGACATGAAAACACCAGATACCAATGACCCTACAATAGAAGGTCTTGAACCTCTTAATTCAGAAGAAGCAGAAAAAAATGCCATTATGAAAGCAATAGAGTCCCTTAAACAGGATATGAATAACTCCCTTAAAGAACTGGATCAGAAGTACAACAAAAAGATTGAAGAAATGAGTAAAGAAATGGATGAGAAATATAACAAAAAGTTCGAAGAAATGAGTAAATCCATGAATGATACACTGGGAAACCAAGAAAAAACAATCAAACAGGTAATGGAAACAGTTCAAGAATTGAAAACTGAAATGGAGTCAATGAAGAAAACACAAAACGAGGGCCAGCTGGATATGGAAAATCTAGGTAAACGAACAGAGACTACAGAATCAAGCATAACCAATAGGATACAAGAGATGGAAGAACGAATCTCAGAGTCTGAAGATACCATAGAGAAAATAAATGCTCTGATCAAAGAAAACAGCAAATCCAATAAATTCTCATCACAAAACATTCAAGAAATCTGGGACACAATAAAAAAACCAAATCTAAGAATAATAGGGATCGAAGAAGGAGAAGAACTGCAGATCAAAGGACCAGAAAATATATTCAACAAAATTATAGAAGAAAACTTTCCCAACATAAAGAATGATATTCCTATGAAGGTTCAAGAAGCATACAGAACACCAAATAGACTTGATCAAAAAACAAAATCCCCTCGTCATATAATAATCAAAACACAAAACATACAAATTAAAGAAAGAATATTAAGAGCTGTAAAGGAAAAAGGGCAAGTAACTTATAAAGGTAAACCTATCAGACTTACACCAGACTTCTCTATGGAAACCATGAAAGCCAGAAGGTCCTGGATAGAGGTAATGCAGAAACTAAGAGAGCATGGATGCAAACGCAGACTACTATACCCAGCCAAGCTATTGTTCACTATCAATGGAGAAAACAAAATATTCCAAGATAAGAACAAATTTAAACAATTCGTAGCCACAAACCCAGCCTTACTGAAAGTAATAGAAGGAAAATCGCAACCCAAGGAATCCAACATTGTCAACATTACCTACAATAACTCAGACATCTAGCGACCCTTCACGAGCTTTACTCAAAAAAGGGACACATACAAACTCTATTAAACATATAAACAAAAAATAATAATAACCAGAGTCAACAACCACTGGTCATTAATATCACTTAATATTAATGGACTCAATTCACCTATAAAAAGGCACAGACTAAGAGATTGGATACGAAAACAGGATCCAACATTCTGCTGTTTACAAGAAACACACCTCAACCACAAAGACAGACATCTACTCAGAGTAAACGGCTGGGAAAAGGTTTTTCAAGCAAACAGACCTAAGAAACAAGCAGGTGTGGCCATTCTAATTTCCAACAAAATTGACTTCAAACTAAAATCGATCAGAAGAGATGGAGATGGACATTTTATACTCATAACAGGAACAATTCATCAGGAGGAAGTCTCAATCCTGAATATCTACGCCCCTAATATAAAGCCTCCTACTTATATAAAAGAAAAACTTTTAGAACTCAAGGCAGTCATCAAACCACACACACAAATAGTAGGAGACTTCAATACTCCTCTCTCACCAATGGACAGGTCAATCAGACAGAAACCTAACAGAGAAAGAAGAGAATTATTGGAGGTATTGAATCAAATGGACTTAACAGACATCTATAGAACGTTCCACCCAAATAGGAAAGAATATACCTTCTTCTCTGCAGCTCATGGAACCTTCTCGAAAATTGACCACATACTGGGTAACAAAGCAAACTTCCACAGATACAAAAAAATATTAGTAACCACCTGTGTCTTGTCAGACCACCATGGATTAAAGTTAGAACTCAACAACAGTGCTAACCCCAGGAAGCCAACAAATTCATGGAAGTTGAACAGTCAACTACTGAATCACCCCTGGGTCAAGGAAGAAATAAAGAAAGAAATTAAAGTCTTCCTTGAATTTAATGAAAATAAAGACACAACATACTCAAACCTATGGGACACTATGAAAGCAGTGCTAAGAGGAAAGTTCATAGCACTAAGTGCCCAATTAAAGAAAACGGAGAAAGCACACATTGGAGACTTAACAGCACACTAGAAAGCTCTAGAAAAAAAAGAAGCTGATTCACCCAGGAGGAGTAGAAGACTGGAAATAATCAAACTGAGGGCTGAAATCAACAAAATAGAAACAGAGAAAACAATCCAAAGAATCAATGAATCAAAAAGCTGGTTCTTGGAGAAAATCAACAAGATCGACAAGCCCCTATCCAAATTAATCAAACGGCAGAGAGAGAACATGCAAATTAATAAGATCAGAAATGAAAAGGGGGACATAACCACAGACGCAGAGGAAATTCAGAGAATCATTAGATCTTACTACGAAAATTTATATGCCACAAAGTTGGAAAATGTATAAGAAATGGACATTTTTTTAGATAAGTACCATATACCAAAGTTGAACCAAGACCAGGTGAACAATCTAAACAGACCGTGAAGAATTAGAAGCTGTTATTAAAAATCTCCCTACCAAAAAAAGCCCAGGACCAGATGGTTTCAATGCAGAATTCTACCAGAACTTCCAGGAAGAGCTAATACCTATACTCCTTAATGTATTTCACAATATAGAAACAGAAGAATCATTGCCAAACTCTTTTTATGAGGCTACAGTTACCCTGATACCAAAACCACACAAAGACACGACCAAGAAAGAGAATTACAGACCAATCTCACTCATGAACATTGACGCAAAAATACTCAATAAAATACTGGCAAACCGAATCCAAGAATACATTAGAAAAATTATCCATTATGATCAAGTGGGCTTCATCCCAGAGATGCAGGGCTGGTTCAACATACACAAATCTATCAATGTAATCCATCATATAAATAAACTGAAAGAAAAAAACCATATGATCATTTCATTGGATGCTGAAAAAGCATTTGACAAAATTCAACACCCATTTATGATAAAGGTGTTGGAGAGACTAGGGATACAAGGATCATACCTAAATATAATAAAAGAAATATACAGCAAGCCGTCAGCTAACACCAAATTGAATGGAGAGAAACTCAAAGCCTTTCCACTAAAATCAGGAACACGACAAGGCTGTCCACTCTCACCATACCTCTTCAATATAGTGCTTGAAGTTCTAGCAATAGCAATAAGACAACATAAGGGGATCAAGGGGATACGAATTGGAAAGGATGAAGTTAAACTTTCGTTATTTGCAGACGATATGATAGTGTACATAAGCGATCCCAAAAACTCTACCAAAGAACTCCTACAGTTGATAAACTCCTTTAGTAATGTGGTAGGATACAAGATCAACTCCAAAAAATCGGTAGCCCTCCTATACACAAAGGATAAAGAAGCAGAGAGGGAAATCAGAGAAACATCACCTTTCATGATAGCCACAAATAGCATAAAGTATCTTGGGGTAACTCTAACCAAAGAAGTGAAAGACCTATTTGATAAGAACTTTAAGTCCTTGAAGAAAGAAATTGAGGAGGATACCAGAAAATGGAAAGACCTCCCCTGCTCTTGGATTGGGAGAATCAACATAGTAAAAATGGCAATTCTACCAAAAGCAATCTATAGATTCAATGCAATTCCCATCAAAATCCCATCAAACTTCTTCACAGACCTGGAGAGAACAATAATCAAGTTTATAAGGAAAAACAAAAAACCCAGGATAGCTAAAACAATCTTATACAATAAAGGAACTTCTGGAGGCATTACCATCCCTGACTTCAAACTCTATTACAGAGCAACAGTATTAAAAACAGCTTGGTATTGGCATAACAACAGAGAAGTCGACCTATGGAATCGAATAGAAGACCCGGGTATTAACCCACAAACGTATGAACACCTGATTTTTGACAAGGGAGCTAAAGCTATACAATGGAAGAAGGATAGCATCTTTAACAAATGGTGCTGGCATAACTGGATGTCAACCTGTAGAAGAATGAAAATAGATCCATATCTATCACCATGCACAAAACTCAGGTCCAAATGGATTAAAGACCTCAACATTAATCTGACCACTTTGAACCTGATAGAAGAGAAAGTAGGAAGTAGTCTACAAGACATAGGCACAGGAGACCACTTCCTAAGCAGAACCCCAGGAGCGCAGACAATAAGAGAAACAATAAATAAATGGGACCTACTGAAACTGAGAAGCTTCTGTAAAGCAAAGGACACTGTCAGTAAGACAAAAAGGCTACCTTCTGACTGGGAGAAGATCTTCACAAACCCCTCAACAGACAAAGGTCTGATCTCCAAAATATACAAACAACTCAAGAAACTAGACACTAAAACTCTAATTAACCCAATTAAAAAATGGGGTACTGAACTGAACAGAGAATTCACAACAGTTGAACTTCGAATGGCTAAAAAGCACTTAAGGTCATGCTCAACCTCCTTAGCGATCAGGGAAATACAAATCAAAACAACTTTGAGGTATCATCTTACACCTGTCAGAATAGCCAAACTCAAAAACACCAATGATAGCCTATGCTGGAGAGGATGTGGAATGAGGGGAACACTCATCCGTTGTTGGTGGGAATGCAAACTTGTGCAGCCACTGTGGAAATCAGTGTGGCGGTTTCTCAGGAAACTGGGAGTCAACCTCCCTCAGGACCCAGCAATTCCACTCTTGGGAATATACCCAAAAGATGCCCTAACATATTACAAAAGCATTTGTTCAACTATGTTCATAGCAGCACTATTTGTAATAGCCAGAACCTGGAAACAACCTAGGTGCCCCTCAATAGAAGAATGGTTAAAGAAGGTGTGGAACATATACACATTAGAGTTTTACTCAGCGGTAAAAAACAATGACATCTTGACTTTTGCATGCAAATGGATGGAAATAGAAAACGCTTTACTGAGTGAGGTAAGCCAGACCCAAAAAGAGGAATATGGTATGTATTCACTCATAAGTGGATTCTAACCGTAATTAAAGGTCTGTGAGCCTATTATTCGTGATCCTAGAGAAGCTAAATAAGAAGGTGAACCTGACGAAAATCATGTAGCTATCTTCCTGGAGATTGGAAATAGACAAGAGTGCCAGGTAACCTCGGGTGCATGGGGGGTGGTAGGGGAGCTGTTGGAAGGGGATAGGGTTAGAGAGAAGGGAGTAGGGGAGGAATGGGGAAAGATGGGGGGACTGGGATGGGGGGGAGGGAGAACGGATAGATAGGGGATCAGGGAAGTATATACCTCAACTAAGGGAGTCATTTTAGGGTTTACAAGAGACTTGAGTATAAAGGGGATCCCAGGTCCAAGGAGAGATCCCCAGATTGTTCTCTGGACAGAGGAGAGGGTGCCTGAACCGGCCTTGGCCCACAACCATACTGATGAACATTTTGCATATCACCATAGAACCCTCATCTGGCGATGGAGGGAGATGGAGGCGGAGACCCACGTCGAAACACTGGACCTAGCTCCCTAGGTCCAAAGGAGAGGCAGAAGGAAGGAGAACGTGAACAAAGAAGGCAAGAGCAGAGGAAACCTTCATCCGACGTTGGATGGCGATACAGACGGAGACCCATATTGGAGCACCGGACGGAGCCCTCCACGGTTCAAATGAGGAGCAGAAGGATGAAGAAAATGAAAAAAGAAATCAGGACTGCGATGGGCGCCATCACCCACTGATACAAGGGGACTGATCTAATGAGAGTTCACCAAGGCCAGCTGGACTGGAACTGAACGAGCACGTGATCTAACCAGATTCTCTGGATGTGGCTGGCCCGGAGTCTTTCTGAAAAGCCATTGACAATGACACTGGGACTTGTTTCCTCTTCATATACTGGATTTTTGGGATCCAGTCTGTTTGTATACTCACCTTCCTGGACCTGGAGGGAGGGGGGAGGAACTTGAACTTCCCACAGGGCAGGAAACCCTGACTACTCTTAGGGAGGGAGAGGGAGGAGAGGGAGTTGGGGAAGTGGGAGGGTGTTGGGAGGAGGGGCGGAAATGGAAACTTTTATAATTTAATAAACTTTAAAAAAAAAAGATAAAAAAAATAAAATCTTTCTTTAAAAATTAAGTCCAATTTTAAAAACCTACCAATCATCCAGTTTGGCTCCAAGATATCAAAGTATAACTTAATCTGGAGCCTGTTTACCAGCATAGGGTATAACAAACCTCACTTACTTCATACATTTGTTCAGTGATGAGACTGTTGTCACGGAGTACCTCAAGAAAAGGAAATGGCTTTTTTATTGCATTTGAAATCATCACTTTATGTCTTTTGAAGGTCAGGAATATAGGTTTGAAGGGAATCGTCTCTGTGTTCTTATCTTCTGTGGACATCCTGGAGGGGAGAAATACCATGGGGAAATGATAATCAGGTCTATCAGTCTATATGCTTGTGAAATGTAGGGTTTTATACATGAAAGAAAGACTGTAAAGGAGTAACATACATAAGATAGGTGGTCTTGAGTTAACCCCAATAAATACAATGAGTCAAGTCCAATAATTTGGCAAGTTCTAGGTTCAAGAAAGAAAGACCCTGCCTATCACTCCCATGTGCACATGTGCACACACATATACATGTGCATCTGCACACATAAGCCCTCATGCATGTGAATGTTTATGCATGCATGTATACTGCATATTCACATACAGACAAAAATAAAGTGAAATATAATGTTAACTATGATTCAAAAATTCCACTGCTAGGTGTTCTTATACAGGTGAAAAGGAATATTCTCACTAATTTATATGCAAATATTTCTCGTAGCATTATTGATAGCTAAAAGTTAGGAATGTTTGAAATGGCCATTAGTTTGAATGTAGAAAAGTAAAACTGGATAATTTATACAATGAAATATTATTCCTCAATAAAAGGAACAAAATGCTAATACATTCTATGAGTTAATGAATCTCAAAAATTTTTCTTAATAATGGAAGACAAATAAAGATGGCCACATAATGTATAATTCCATATCTATAAAATGCCCAGAAATGAAATCTACAGAGACAGATGTATGTGTGGTTGCATGGACTAGGGACCAAGAACGGACTGTACACAGCTGTGGGGGTTCTTCTGGGGATTCCTAGTCCAAAGTTACAAACTTGAACTGTGGTGCTGGTTGCAGGCTCTGTAAAATGTCATTGGATTGTTTATTATAATGGGTAAATTTTATAGCAAGTAAGTTAAACTAAAAAACCTGTCAAAAATATGAAGTGGAAATTCAAAATGATGAACAAATCAATAAAGGTGACAGGCTGAATATTTTTTTCCTCTGAGTACAGGAAAAGGTGGATATTTTGAATAACAATTACACATTGTATTCTAACTGATTTGGGTTTTTATTTTTGTTTGTTTTTTTGGGGATTGTGTATGGGGGACAGTTAAAGTGGTTTTATACTTTCTATAATTCCACAAGATATAAAGCTTTTAAACAGTGGCCTGTATCCCCACTCATTCAGAAGACTGAGGCACTAGGATCATAAGTTCAAGGCCATTCAGCACTGTGGAATGAGTTCAGGCCAGCCTGAGTAACATAGCAAAACACGGATTCTAACATCCTTAAAATAGATAGAAATATATAGTCAGGCACAGTCGAGGCCCTAGGTTCAACAGCAGTACTGGAAATACATCACTTCCTGTGCAGGAGCAAACACCCCGACTGGCACTGTTTCTGAGGAGCACATCTGATCACCACTGTGGAGCAGACAGAGGTCGGCCATGTCCTTGTCAGAGGAGTCACCTCCTAGGACAGGGCGCTGAGGTGGAAAGAAAAACGTGCAGCTTGACATGGCCGCTGCTAGCCAGGGCCTTTCTTGTCTTTTTTTCTTTCTTGGAACAAAATCTGACAGTGAGAACTCAAACCAGGAGTGAGCCTGGGACAGCTTCCTAGGTGACAAGTCCTGCCAGACAGGTAGGAGACCAGGACAGAGGGCAGCCAGCTGCTGACCCTGAGACTCTGCTATTTGAATGTCTTCCCTGAGGTGACTTAGTGAAAGCAGAGAGAGGCAGAGGGACTGAGAAAACGCAGAGTTACTGAGATAACAACAGAATCGTGTCACAGAGGCCGCCAGGAGTGCCTCACAGCTGTGACCAGAGTCTCCTGACAGCTGACAGTGTTGCACACAAGAACGTTATGACTGTGTGTTGTGGCAAACTGGCCTTGCAGGCAGATATCTTACTCAGTTTCAAAAGCTCTGGGTATTCTCTCTGTCTCTGTGTCTGCTTGTCTCTGTCTTGCTGTCTCTCTGTATGTCTTTGTCACCCTCTGTCTGTCTGTCACACTCTGTCTCTGTGTCTCTGTCTCTCTCCCTCTCTCTACCTCTCTCTTATCTCTTCTCTCTAACTACAGTGCACAGCTTCTTCATGTCCAGGGCTTTAAACTGACTGAAGCTGCAGCCACTTAAGACGTGAAATCACCCAAGCTGTCAGAGGATTAAGTTACAGAGGGAGAAAGACTCACCTGTTGCTGAAGCTGCCACCTTCTGTCTCCCAACTCCTGCTCGGGGTTTGGAAGGGTGATCTCTGATCCTTGGTCTCCTCACAGACTTGCAGACTGTGTGTTGTGGCCCACAGCTGAGAGCAGGAAGTCAGCCTGAGTACTAACTCACCAGGGAGGGCTCCGCCCAGATGGGGAAAAGGAAAATAAAAGTATTTTTCTACTCTCACTTGGACTGCTCTGAGATACTGTCCCTTCTTTCTTTCCTGGAATGTGGTGGCAGCGGGGAGGAGAAAGGGGGCTAGTGGATTGCGAAGGGGAACACCAGGGACATGCAGGGCCAGGTCTTAGTAGTAACCTTATTTACACAAAGATGGAAAATAAAGCAGCAACCGAAAGGCAATAAATAACAGCAACAACACAACTTCATTCTAACCCAAACTGTTAGGCACCCCTGTGTCTAGGGGAACAGATTTCCCCAGGGTGGGCTGTAATCTCTACTTTATCTTGTCCCTGGCTGAACTGGCATGAGAGGAAGAGCACATGGGTGGGCGAGAGATGGGGAAGGAGGGCCACACACTTTCAGGTTCTCTCTCAGGCTAGCAGCAAAATACAGAGCTGGATCCTGACTAAGAGAAGCTTTACCTCAGACACCAGGGGAAATGGGGCTGGAGAGGCAGATCCTTCAGCTTGATGGACACTCTGGTCAGAGCACTGACTGAGGAGTTGTCATCCCAGCCTAGAACTCAAGAGTGAAAGGAAGCTGCCACAGTGACCACCAGGGCATAAGGACAAAGAACTTGTCCATCCTTCTGAGATGTGGACCTGGAGAGAGATGCACAGACACCTCCAGGGAGGCCTTCCAGGAAGGCCCTCAGGGATCACCAGGATGCACCAGGTTCCTCTCTGTTGCTCCCTCTGGGAAGACTCTCTCTGAGGAACCAGGAGATTGGGTGAGCCTGAGTCCTGTCAGGTCTCCAGCAGTCTTCTTGCCTGCGCAGCCCAGGGCTCTGTTCTCATCCTTAGCTCAAATGCACAGGGACAGGCAGGTGCGGGGCTGGAGCGGGTCTGACTGACAGCCACAGCCTGAGGCCAGGCCTGAGGTCAGATTTCAGGGCTCCTTTCACTGTCCCACATTTTAGCCAGGTCTCCAACTCTACTTCTATCAGGAATAAAACTTTTTAAAATGACTTTATTTGATTTTAATGCATGCATGTGTGTTTCTGTATGGGGTATGCACATGGGAGTGGATGTGGCTAATGCTGTAAGAAAACCGACCACGTGGGATCCCTGGAGCTGGAGTCAGAGGCAGCTGTGTCACCAGATGCAGGTGCTGGGAACCAGACCCTGGTCCTCTGTAAGAGAAGGCTCTCAACAGCTGAGCCATCTCTAGCTGCAGACAGTATTTTGATCCTCATCCTGTCTCTTCACGTTGCCTATCTGTCAGATGGTCTAGGACCAAGGTCAGAGAAAATGATAAACTTGGGGCTATGAGGCCTTAATCTTGTTTAACCCTAAGCCTAAGGCTGTGTCTTTTTCCTCAAGTTCGCTTTACCTGAGCACCAGGAGAGGAGAGGCCGGAAGCTGTACTGTGATGCTTTTTTACTCTTTTGGCTCTTTTGGGGGGTTTGCCAGCCAGCTCCCAAATAAATCACACATGGAAGCTTGTTCTTAGTTACAAATGCTTCTCCTTGGCTTGGTTTGTTGCTTCTCAGTTTTTCCTTAATTTATTCCATCGACCTTTTGTCTCTGGGCTTTTCCTCTTCTCTTCTGCATATCCTGCTTCCCTTCTTACTCCGTGGCTGGCTCAGTGGCTGGGTGTCTAGTCCCTGCTGTCCGCCTCTCCATCTCTTTCCCCTTTCTTTTCTCTCCTTTCTCCTCCTATTTATACCCTCTGTCTACCAGCCCTTCTTATCCTTGCTCCTGTCTTGCTGTGGGCCGTTCAACTCTTTATTAGGACAATCAGGTGTTTAGACAGGCGCAGTAACACAACTTCACAGAGTTAAACAAATGCAACATAAACAAAAGTCACACACTCTAAAATAATATTCCCCAAAAGGAAGTCCTGGGCAATTCCATCATCATTATGCAATTATTCTTAGGGCCTGGTGGGCATTGGGTAGGAATATCTGAACTCTTAGAGACTGTGGTGAGACTGAGTGAATTCACTGAACAGCCAGACCTCTGCCTAGAACCTCCCTGAGTAAGGTAAGGGATGTGAAGCTTTGGATGTCACAGGCTTTGAACTGTGTGAGATGCTGGGGAGATAGAGGAGGAAACATGAATATTTCTAATGAGAAGTGTGAATGGGAAGAGATCCGAAGGCAGTGAAGGAAAAAGTCAAGGACAGAGGCACATAGGAGGTCTATCTGCCATCTTCTGAATACCTGAGGACCATCCATGAGAAACACCGTTGAAGAAGCCCAGGGTCCTGATAACGCTCAGGAGCAGGTGGGATGCTGGACCAAGGCCTCATGTCCGGGGAGTCCCTACCTCTAGTCTGCATCATCTCCCATAGCCCTTCAGTTTAGCTTCTGTGTCTTCAAGTGGACAAGGACAGAGATTCCCTGTGTCCTGGGTACAGATGGGAGACCCAGAGACTCTGCATCCCATTGACATCACAGCTGCCTTTCCTTTACATCCCGTGCCACAGAGGCTGGCCATGTGCACAGCACACAGCAAGGAAAGATCTGGTGAACTCCCTCCTCCCCTTTCTTTTTTTCTTAATTATTATTTTATTTACCTTTTTCATTTCTGAGCATTGGTGTTTTGCCAGCACTTATGTTTGTATGAAAGTGTCAGATCCACTGGAACTGGAGTTACAGTCAGCTGTGAGCTGCCATGTGAGTGCTGGGTATTGAACTCAGGCCTCTGGGGGCGCAGTCAGTGTTCCTAACAAGTGATCCATCATCCCAATCCTAACTACTGATCCATCATCACCGTCCTAACCACTGACCGATCATCACTATCGGCGAGTGGTAGCCACTTTCCGGACAGAGTGGGCTCCAGCAAGCTTTATACCATCCCCTGGTGGTTATTACAAGAAGTAGGCGCCTTACACCTGGATTCTATTCTCATTGATGGGAACCAAAAATCCTTTTGAACAGCTGTGGAAACACTTGGGACTGTCAGTAGAAGTTCTGAGTTATGGTATTATCTTAATATTTGACAATCCATGAGCATAAATGAGCTTTTGACCTATACAGAGACTCTTGGTTCAAATTGTCAGGGAGTTACTATGGATCTGGCTCATTCATGCCTCCCGGAAAAACCTATGGTTCTTCCTGGAAACCCACATTAGGTTTGTGAGCACTCGGGAGACCCGATCTCGCTAGAAGATAGCTCCTGTGTCCCTCACTCTGAAGTCTTGTGGGGTGACCTGGAATCTCCTCCAAACACATAGTTCTTACCGGATTGTGATTTAAAACACTTCTGAGAATTAAACAGTTTTTAAAATACAATGAAATTTTAAGAGAAGAAATGGGGCTTGAAGGAGTGTTTCATGTGAGACCAATAGAAAATACCCTACTTCATACACCCTAGTCTCTTCTGGGGTGATCTTCACCATCTCCTATATTAGGGTCCTCTTGAGTCCACACAGCTCTTCCAAAAAGAAAGAAAACCTACTGGGTTCCCTAAACTTTTAATCGACAGCCTATGACTCCCTCATCCATGAATCTCCTAGAGGATGCTCACCCCAAGAAGTGTGGACCCATGCTGAATGTTGGGTCTTGGGAACTCATGGTAGCTTCCAGGCCAGCCTATCATGGCAACAGTGGTATATTTCAACCTTGCCTGTAAGAATCAACAATTGGAAGTTGGGTATTTATCAGCTGAGGTCATTTGTCAGGCATAGCCTGAATTTACCACGTGTCACTCTGATAACGGTGTATGGTGAGAGCCCAGGGACAAGTATTTTTATTTCTCCAATAAACACTAAGCAAAATTAACCAACCCATTTCTATACAGGGCTCTTGGCAACACAAGACTCTGCAAAATCTTCTCAGAGCTAATGTGTTCATGGGAATTCAGTGCACATGTCTCTGGTTAGAGCCCATTCTTGGAGACCCTGAGGGTTTTTTTTCTTTTTGTCTTTTACAAGTATAAATCTTACCTGTTAAGTTGAAAGCCAGTACATTCAAGCTTGGATCCAGCTCTCCAGGCAGATTCTATACTGTAGTTATAACTCATCTATACCTAGTAAACTGCCCTCAACTGCTCAGAGATCTGGGGAATGTGGCATTTAAATATTTAATTATTAAAAGTCTTTTCATAACAACAACAACAAAAAAACAGGTTGGCTCCTGGCAGCAGCACTCTACTTCCTCCAAAGAAAGAAGACAGAATACAGATGGGCACAAAACAACATCTATCTGGAATTTACTTCAACTGCCAAGCACTGACCACTGGGGAAAGCTGCCTTTCATCTAAATTGAAGATCTTCAGACAGTGGAAAGAATTGCTGGAATCGACAGCCCAGATGCTCAGGTCAAGGCAGGCTTGTCTTCTTACAGATTTCTTAGCCCATAAGATCTTCTGAACCCTGCACTAAACAGCAAAAGAAAAATATGACCCTCAGCCACCATGGAGTACATTGAAGAGTAACTCTAGGTGCCAAGCAAGTAAGTTCTCTGTTGTTTTTTAATCAATAACTCAAGTAAAATTTTATCCTTCTCAAAGATCTCTGATGCAGTTTGACAGCTGAGGGGTTTTGTCATTTAAAAGGACAGCCTCACCAAACATGTTTCAATAAGCTACAAGTTAACAAAATTCTTTCTCACACTGTCTTTCATAGTCTTAAAGATCCCTTTCATTATGCAAAAATATCTATCACAGTCATTCTGGTATAAATATGTTGCTGTCTAAAACTTATGGTTCCATAAACCCCCAAAATTCTGTGAGTTTCAGGGAGTTGAATTAAAGGATCCACCTTAAATAGGTTAAATACACCCCTCTCAATTCCCTGATCTTATTTCCCCCCCAAACTTAACTTTGTTCTCTGTTCTGTCATTGCCTTAAACAGTTCGAAGAGCACACCACAAACCCTGGACAGGAGTAAAGAGACCAGCTACCCCAGGATGTGACCAGCACCCAGCTTTCTCAGGTTCTCCTCCCCACCAAGACAATATCCACAAAAAAGCAAGAAGCAGTCTTGAGAACCTGCCATCCCAATTCCTTTAACCTGCTGTGTGTAACTTTCTGCCTTTTTAATATAAAAAAGAGATAGGAATGTAATGAGCTGTCCTGTCCCTTAAAGAGATAAGCCCTACCCACTCCTCCTTCGACTGAGGCAAGCTTCCACTTTCAGCCTGTGCTCTCTCTCTCTGTGTCCAGTCTCTCTTCAGAAGAAGTAGCTGCTGCCTCTTCTTCTCTTCCCCCTCCCTTTTCCCTCCATCTCCCTCTTCCTCTCTCTCTCTCTCTTTCTCTCTCTCTCTCTCTCTCTCTCTCTCTCTCTCTCTGTTTCTCTCTGTCTGTCTCTCTTCCTCTGTTTCTCTCTGTCTCTCTGTCTCTCTCTCTCCCTGCTTCTCTCTCCTTCAAAAACCCACTAAATAAACTATACCCACTTTTTCTGCATGGTGTGCCTCTCCCTCTCTCACCCACTGAGGCTTCTCGTGGGACTGGCTGCCCCGTTGACCCACTGAGGTCTCTCACCTACCATCTCCCACCCACCTGGGACCCACAGAGGCCTTGGGTGGTGGGACTGGCTGCCCCTTGAGGCCTGCTGCCGCCCCTGGAGGAACTGTGCCATTTTACCTAAACCATTACAGTGGGTCCTACCAAAAGCATGCCACTGCACAAGACACACATACGATAGTCAGTAAGAGAAATTTAGAGACAAAAACATAAGTAAACCATGAGACTAGGCAAGAAATACCTCAGTAAAGATGGCAACTTGGTTACCTAACCTGTCCTTAGTCAAGATGGTGGGACTTGGTCACCTGACCTGCCCTTAGTCAAGATGATGGTGAGGTCACCTGACCTGCCCTCAGTCGAAAGGGTGATGGTCACATGTTTTCAGAGCTGCGGCAGGAATTTTAAATAGATACAAATAGCAAGAGACATAGAGGCCGTGTAGAACATACATTTAAAACAGAATTACATCCATGTGGCCAAACCATCTACACATTCTTGTATACATGAAGTAGATAGTAAAATTACTCAGTGCCTCCAGCTGCCCCCAGCTACTGGAAGCCAGCCACCATGGGGAGTGAGGGCTGGGAGGGGAACAGCTGCTTTGGATCCAGCCAGTTTTGCTGGTTACTGCGGGACCAGCAGCTGTAATGGTGGCAGAGGCCGAAGAGGAATGAGAAAAAAAAGAGTGTTTACAGGTGTGTGAGGGTGGGGCTGCCCAGGGAAAGGAAAAGCAGAGACGCTTGAGATGCCAGCGGAACACTTGCAGTGTGGAGCATGGCTGGATAGGAACTTTTAATCTGCCTGCTTGCTGGTAGAATTAGAAAGCTCCCGCTTTAGGGTGTTATTTTAGGGCACATGGGCCATTTGTTAGTGCAAAGGTGGGTAAGGTTAGAAATCTGTAATATGGCAGAGGTTTTAGGATGCCAGCGGGAGGTTGCACAGATAGTTCTAGGTCTCTTACCCAAGGCAAGAGTGTGAGAAAGGAAAGGACCCAAGGGTTCTTAACAAGAATGTCTTCTGGGTAATGCAAGGATCAAGGACTAGGTCAAGTCAATTCAAGACATGTTGGTACAGGAATTGGGGACTGGATAGGACCTCTCCACGTAGGCTGAGAAAAGACAAAAGTCCAAGTGTTGAGGAGCCAAATCTCAGTCCTTTGCCATGGGGAATAACCAGAGATGAATGTCAGCGAAAGCTGACTTGGAGAAGGGAACCTTATCATTTGAAGCAATGGGGCAGGCACAGGATGTTGGAAAGTGGTCCAAGTCTAAGGTTTGCAGGCCTGTCTGTAGGTGAGGGGGAACATGGAGAGAGCCTGGCTGAGTCACACACCAATGTTATCATAAAGAGGTAGTGGAGGACCAATCCCACAAGGGGTGGTGGCAGGTCATCCAAGGCCTTGATGGGTCCCCTTGTGGGTGGCCTGAGGGCTAGGGAAGAAACAGACAGATAAATATATCAAGCAGAGAGAGTTTGGGTATAGAGCGTATTTAGTGGGTTATAGAGGAGGAAGGAAAAGGGAAAAGGGGAGAAGGGGAAGGGCAGAAACTGCCTCTCCAGAAGAAAGGGAGAGAGGGAGAGGGTGGGGAGAGAGAGAGAGAGAGAGAGAGAGAGAGAGAGAGAGAGAGGTGGTACTGTGGAAGGGAGAGGTTGGGTGAGAGACAGAGTACCCAGGTGACAGACCAGGTCAGCAGGTTATAACACTAACTGCTTCTGGAATTCCTTTAGCTGTGTATAAAAGGAGTTTGTGAAGTTCTGTCAGGGTCACCATTTAGCCCCTGTGTCAGATGTGTGGCCCCAGCATGCTGAAACTCTTTCTCTTCAGAAAATAAACACTCTTGCTGGTAGCATCCATGGATAGTGGTCTTTGTGGGATTTCTCTAGACCCTATCCTCTGGTCTTAGTTTGGGTCAACCATGGCATGATTATTCCCATCTATGTAATCTCACTCAGAATCCAATGGCAGCTGGATTCCTGATCTCACCAGATGACACCTGGTGGCAATGTGCCGCTGGTTTGACTCCCGGTGTTAATACTCAGGGTTTAAATCAGACTAAAGATTTCTGCGTCCTGGTCCAGTCAGAATAGTCTATGTAACGGCAAAAATAAAATGTTGCGGATCCCCCAGTGGCTGCAGAGGGCAGCTGGTCCTGAGGGCAGCCAGTCCCAGGCAGGGATGGCGAAGTTCCCCAAGTGGCTGCAATGGGCCATGAGTCCCAGGCAGGGAGCCACACTGCAGGTGAGAGACAGAGACATGGATAGGCATGCCATGTAGAGTGAGGTTGGATATTTATTTAATGGGTTATGAAAGGAAAGAGGGAGAAGGAGA